GTAAAACAAATTCTTTTAAATAAATACAAATAAATACAATTCTTTTAAATTGTAAAAAATTTGTAAAACAAATTCTTTTAAATAAATACAAATAAATACAATTCTTTTAAATAAATACAAATAATGCATATACGTAATAATACATTTAATAGTAAAACACACACGTATATGAAATAAATTTTATTTATTCTATTAATTACATTAACTCATCTGATACGAGAAACAATCAATTAAAGTTTGTTAACTATCGGAATCTTTAAATTCTATCAAATAAAAATTAATGTACAAATATAATATTGGTATCGCGACGTGTAAATGTCGGCGCGGTAAATGGTGCGCAATGAAAAATAATTTCAACAATTAGTGTTTATAATTTCGTATATTCATAGACATTTCGGCTCTCCTTTCGAGCCATCTTCAAGTACATGAGCAAGAATAGGTTGATCGAACAAAGTCGGTATTAATCTGGAGGTAGGAACCTCCTTGCCAAAAAAGATGTAAAAATATACACGGGCTGTAAGACTCGAATATAGTGAACGGATGTAGTCTACGAAATTATAAACACTATTTGTTGAAATTATTTTTCACTGCGCACTATTTACCGCGCCGACTCGCGGTACTTTACACGCCACGATACCAATTTATTATATTTGTACTTTTCACGAGTCTTACTTTTTATCTTTTAAAAATTAATGTATAAAATATAATATTTAATAACACAGATTTTATTTTATCACGTTTTCAAGTACATAATGAAATTAATTAATTACGTGTTGGAAAGTAATGTTGTAACGTTATTTGTTTTATTTTAGATATCATGATGATTTAAAGAGATATTATTTATAAAAAAAATATATATACCTTGTGTTCGCAGAAGGTGATAATTATGGATACCATTGCCACAAATAAGTTTACTATTATTGCAAAGTAAGTCAAACTATTAATTATACTTTTTACTACAGACATTACGTAATATAACGCGTAAGCATAAACACTCCACACTGTTAATGTATAGAAAATACTTAAGCGATATCTCGATTCGTTTAAGGGATATTTGAGATTCCCGCAACCTAAAAAGAAGGTGATTAAGAAAATAGAATTTAACGCTTTTCCTAAAGTATCGACCATAATGGAGGCTTTCACAATTTTATGCACTAACTGTTAAAGTTTCCAAGTTGCAAAGTTCACATTATGCAAACGTCACGTTCATCGCTATAATGGAATGGCATTTAATTATATTGCAAATATTATTAAATTACTAAACGATAACATATAGTGGAGAAATGATAATGGAGACAATCAATCCGTATATGAATTATTTGTATTTTTTAAATGCATTTTGCTCATTTTTTGTTTATAATTATGCTGTACTGCTAAAATAAAATACTGCTAAAATAAAGATCATATTTAATTTCTATACAAAAGAAAAATAATAAAGTAAATATAAAAATAAATTTTTCGCAGTAAAGCCATTGTCAAACTATACGAAATTCTATGAATTTCAATGATTGATGTATTATTTGTGATGTAAACTAGTAAATCTATACAACACAGTGGCTTTTTCTAAACAATTTATTTTTATTGACTCTTATTATTTATATTTATTTTATTATATCACGATGATCGGCATATCGAAAAAATCTATTAACGAATTATCGCATTAATTTGGTTGGAGTAAAATTTATAATTTACCATAAATAAATAAATATCAAGGTTGCAAACGTTACCTTAAAAAAAGTAACATGATATCGTTACGTAGGCAAGCAAAGAACGAAGGTGAGGTCTTTTAAAGAAATAGGGGGTTTAACTTTAAAATATATATATCATAATATATTCTTAAGAATAAAAATAGAAATTTTTATGCGTGACCGATACAATTGAAGACGTTGGTTTCATAATAAGATAGGACCGTTTTAAATAGAACTGGTTTAATTAAATAGAACCTCTCGAATATTTCGCAAGGCTTAACTATGCTATACTAAACGGTCGAGGGTGTGTGTGTAATTGTACGTTAGCGTTGGTAGAATTTTACATTACAGAATAAAAGGAAAATGTGATCGCAATTAAACATGTTTGATAGTATTAAATAAAAATTAATAATAATAACGATATTGATAATTAAGCATCAACTGCTAGTATACTAGCAGTAGAAGAATAATAATAACTAACTGATGAATAAAAAAATAATTAGATACGTAATTGGGCATAATATTCAAACTTAAGATTTGTTAAGATAATATTTACAATATTAAACTTAAAATATTAGTACACTAATGGGATTGTGAAGACAATAAATATTAGATCTATGCGTATAATAAACGAGAGAATAACGGGAGGAGTATGTGCTAATGAATTTCATGGAGGGTTGCGATGGAAGGGAGGAAGAAGTTGAAAAAAAATAAGATGGAGACCGCATGTATGGGTATTGGGAGTGGGGGAGGAATACGGGTTTACAAGGAATCTCGAGGGGGCGTTTGTTACGTAAGAACGGATTTCATCTCGGTTAAAATGGTCGGGACCTATTGTAAAGACATCCTGAATATGAATTATTGTCCTTATAGCTCTGTCGCGAGTCCAGCCCCAACATGCCTATATTACCCACAATGTTTATATGTGGGTTTTTTTTAAGATAGAATTCTTGGGTACGTTTTAAAATTGGATTTTTAACGTCGCGGACAAGTTGTATATGGCAAGATACAACTTATCTGTTTTCAAAATCTTTCCGTTATAAAGATTTTTCAAGTTTGGTCGTAATATTTATTTAAAATAAATTTTCCCAAGGAAACTAACAATGGTTAATTTCGTTGAGTCGATGTATCTTCGTTAATTGATGACTACTAATATTTGTTTTTTACTCTAAGAATTTATTCTACTACGTGTTCACGAAACGAAGAAATCATCAAAATCCACCGGACAACAAGAATCAATGTACACAATTTTACTTTGATAATTATTTTGATGGCTCTCAGTGTTCTCAGTGTAGCTCAACATGCCCCATAGGTGGAATACATTGAGCAATTCTAACTCTGTATTCAATATTAATTTTTTCTTATTTTAAATATATTTAAAATCTTTTTCATAAGTGCTTAATTATTGAGCTAGATAAACATGTAAGGTTTTAAAGTAATTCTCATTACTCTGTCATAATTGTGTAAAAAGTTATAATAGTTTAATTAAATAAGAAATGATCATAGTCTCTTACATAAATTATAATAAATTTATGAATTATAATATATAATATGTATATTGATGCAATGTAACAAGATATTAAATTAATGTTAATATAGCTATTTTCATCATAAATTTTAGAAACCAATATATTTACATATGACTTTAAAAAAATATGGTAAATTGAAATAAATAAATAGTTAAAAAAATAATATATGTAAATAATTTTAACATTTCGTATACGTCTTTTGTTACTAATATTTCTGATATACTATTCATCATAGTATGTTATATTATATCTGTTACGAAATCCGAACCATAGTGATGAAAGATCCATTTGCGTCATGAAAATAACAGCTGTAACCATCCACATGAAGAACTGAAAAGAGACAAAAACAAAAACATTACTGCAAGAAGTGGATGTCACCATTTTGAGACTTAGAAAGCTAAGTTTCTACATAAAGATACGAATAATGTTAAAAATTAACCTTACGAATGAAGCCGTAGCCAAAATAAAATAGACCCAAACCGCTAAATTTCAATGGACGTAGTGATATTTGCAAAACAAATTGGCAAATCTGCGTTACAAAATTACATGATATTTAAAATTCTGCAAATCTGCGTTACAAAATTACATGCAATTTTTATTTAAATATATTTATAAATAAAGATTATATGAATCAAGAAGTTATTGTATAGAATTATTGTATAGAAAACTTATCTTACGTCTTTGCGTTCGTCGGCAAAACATATAAAATTTATCAATTTCTGGATAATATCCTTGGTCTTTTGCGCCTGAAATGTTTAATTATATTATTTTACATTTATAATTATTCTAGATAATAAATTTTTATTTTTAGATAAAAAAGGAAAAATTTTTCCCTTATTTTATGATTAAATAAGGTTTCTTTTTCTATTAATGTCCATTTCGTTGTTTGCAATTATTAATCTTCCAGAGAGAGCGAAAGAGAGGATTATACCCATCCTTATATTTAAAATTTATTATCCATTCTTTTTGATTATAAGAATATTTTTCCACAGTTCTAAAGTACTGAAAATATTTACCTTAGTACTAACACTTTCGCAAACATAATTTAATGATATGAGTTTAATTAAAAGTATGATGAACCATGTGCTGTGAGAAAGTATTATTTTCCGTAATCTATCTTCGTATATTTCGTATATTCGTATTGAATGTAATGTCACGTGTAGTTGAAAATAAATTAATGCAATTAAAATAGAGAAATAGGATATCATTTGCAGAGTCATTTGCATTCCAAAGAAGTCATTTATATTGGAAGCTATTCGACAAAGTTCCGAATGGAGATGTCTAAAAAAAGATGTTACGTTAATAAACTTACATAATTATGTTATAATTGACTTATATTTATTAATCTGTTATTGGTAGAATGCATTATATGTATAAATCGTATTCGTCTCTTATTTAATCAGATTAATGCACTATAGAGAATATATGTATAAATATGTTTTGTTCCATAATCCAAAATTTTAAATGAAACGTATCGAACAAAACTTTAGTTTTATAAGATTTAGTTTAGTTATACAAAACAAAATTTGGTTTAGTTAGATTTGCTACTTATAATTTCTGTTAAATATATCTCAAATAAATTGGATAATTTTAAATGATAAATACAATTGTTTACATCAACTAAATCTATCCGATACATTTTAATCAAAAATTTGGTTTATAGAACTAATCATTTCTCCTAGTGTGTAATAAACTATTTATATTAAAGATTTATCATCTAATGGATCTGTGTAAAGTTGTATTTATCTTTCTTCTTTTTATTACGTAAGAAAAAATTTGCAATTTACATTGTAATCCATAACACACGCTTGCGATCAGTATCTTGAACATTGTGCCTACTAACAATAGGATATTTATTCCACTTGCAACTTAGTCCATAGTCTTTTATTTCTGATAATTGTTCAATTTGATCGTTTATTTTATCCAATTTGCTACCGATATGTCTGAAATTTTAAAAATATCTTGAAAAAAATATGATTAAATTTTTATACGTAAATAGCATACATGAAAAATTATTTCCTTTGTTTACTTAAAATTTCACTATTTTGTAGATATTATTACAAATTTTTCTACGTTTGGTACACATTGACCTAAATATAATAATATGTAGAAGTAAATGAATGTTTATTTGTGGAATACAACATTAATACAAAATAAAATCTACATATTTTACGTTATATTATACTTTATTATAGTGTATTCATTTTAAGAAGTTACAAATTTATTAAATTAGTTTAGCTAAACTTTAAAAATATTTACATTAAAATGATTACAACAACATATGATTTACAAACCTCAAAAGAAGCATAAACGTTATATCTGTGATGGTGTTAGCGTGTGTAAAATAATTCAGAATGCAAGGAATAAGTATAGCTCTTATATCATTGGACACTGTCAAGCACAGTAAAGAATCAATAATCCATGATATGCAAGTCATTACAGACCACGTAATCAAGATCAGTCTTATGAAATTTTGCATTCTACAATATTCTTTCGATGTTTCGAGTTCTTCTAATGTATCATCCACATGTTCGAGCTTCTTCATAAATTGTTGATATTTCTGAGGATAACATATCATTGGTAAGAAGTTTATCACAAGAGATTATTCTTCTAAATAAATACAAATCATGAATATACGCAATGACACATTTAATAGTAAAGCACACATGAATATAAAATAAATGTTATTATTATATTTTATTAATATATTAATTATATTAACTTATCTAATACGAGAAACAATAAAATAAAGTTATTTAATTAGAACCTTTAGGTTCTATAAATAAAAATTAATGTATAAATTATAATATTCAATAATAGATTTTACTTTATCAAATTTCTAAGTAAATAATAAAGTTTATTAGTTATGTGTTGGAGAGAAACATTTTATGTTATTTGTTCTATTTTAGATATCATAATATTTTAAAGAAATATTATTCGTAAATAAAATATATACCTTGTGTTCACAGAAGGTAATAATTATGGATATCATTGCCACAAACAAGTTTACTATTATTGTAAAGACAGCCAAACTATTAATTACATTTTTTACCACAGACATTGCCCAATATAACGCGTAAGCATAAACACTCCACATTGTTAATATATAGACAATACTCAAACGATATCTCAATTCGTCTAAGGGATAGAGAATTCCTAAACCTAAGAGAAAAGTGATTAAAAAAACAGGACTTAACGACTTCTTTATAGTATTGACCATCTTGGCTCTCGCAGTTTTATATGCTAACTGTTAAAGTTTCCAACTTGCAAAGTTTACATTATGCAAACGTCACTTTCATCATTATAATGGAATGACATTTCATTATATTACAAATGTCTTTAAAATATTAAACGGTAACACAATGAAGACAATCGACCAACATATGAGTTATTAATAATATAAGTTATTACTTTAAGTATAAAGCTTGTATTCTAATGTTTTATATGAATGACTAATTAAGATGTAATTTATAATAATTATTAAAAAAGGTATTGCGTAATTATACATTTTTTTTTTAAGCGCAAGTATATAAACAAGACATAAATGAAAGTAAGTAGTAAATTTTTTATATTAACGCAGTCTAACAATATATTAAATAAATGTTAATACAATTATTTATATCACAAAATTTATAAACCAATATATTTTATTTATATAATTTTAAAATAAATTATAGCAGTAATTGACGTAAATAAATATTAAATAAATAATTAAAAGGATAAATATATGAAAAATTTTATAATTCCGCATATATCACCTACTACATGTCGTATGTTACATTATCTTTGCTAGTAATTCCGGACCATAGAGGAGTAAAATCCATTTGCGTCATGAAAATAATAGCTGTGACCATCCACATGAAGAACTAAAAGGACATCGAACGAAAATATTAATATTGTATGTTTTGCAATTTAGAAAGCTAAGTTTTTTATAAAGATTTGAATGATGATAAAGATTAACCTTACGAATGAAGCCGTAGCCAAAATAAAATAGACCCAAACCGCTAAACTTCAAAGGCCGTAACGATATTTGCAAAACAAACTGACAAATCTGCATTACATGATATGCAATCCTTATTTAAATATACTTAACTAAAGATTATATAAATCAAGAAATGGTATAGAAAACTTATCTTACGTCTTTGCGTTCCTCGGCAAAAAAATTAAGATTTGTTAATTTATGAATAGAGT